AGGGCACTAGCAAATCCACTTGGTTTTGGACCTGTGGGTCTTCCAAGTTACGAGACCACCACTCTACCATTGAGCTATCTCCCCTTCTCCGAAAGTGATTGCTTGGTCGATTTCCAAATTGGCGTTGAAATTGATCTTTGATGATGAACGGAGTAAATGAATATATAGGGGTTCATGTATTTGGTTGACCCAATTGTTTGTGCCAAGGTCCTACAGGAAGCAGGCGCATACCATGGATATCACAAATACTGAAATAGGGCCCAAGTGCAGTTCTACAGATAGAGCTGTGAATTTTGTTTCATAGTAGACTACACTACTACAGTTTGTAGATCAATAGGAAATTTGTACTTCCTCAGGAAACAACCTCTTGAATAAAGCTTACCAGTACTTTTTTTTCCTCATGAAATTGCCTGATGAATCAAATTAATTGTAGTTTGTAGGATTAAGATGAACATGAGGAGTGGACACGAAACATTTTATCTTTGCTAAGTGCAGAGGAGGCAGCAAAGGGGCAAGAAAAGGTCCAGGAGAAATTACTCTGTTTGAACTGCAAGGAAAAAAAACTTTGGAATCATCTTTTTTTCTTGTGAAAGCACCTATTTATGTGGATTAAGTTTAGAATTGAGATGTATAGATGTAGATAAATAGTTGAAAAGAAACAAATCTGTATGAATTTGAAGTGAAGAGAAAAACTGTGGTCACGTTGCAAGGAAACAAGCTTTGGGATAGAGTTTTTCTTTCGAGAGAAAGAATTGGTTTATTGGGATTGGTTTAGGAATCGATTAGAGTCCACTTGGAATGAAGAGGAGAAACTCGAGTGGTGAGGAAAAGTCCCGCTGAAATGAGTGCCCCTATGGTGTTGTGTTTGGTAATGGATGTTGAGATGTAGAGCTGCAAATCACTTGGGACAGGTTTCATAGAGGTTCGAGGTGGGAGGCTGATTGTTGATGTGTGATTGGTATATATCTCTATCTATTGAAACTAGTTGAACGTCTGTGAGGAGAGTGAAAGAATCACTGCATGATGTGATGCCTTGAATTCGATGAATGGATTCCAGTGTAGTAGTTGAGATCTTGGCCATGTATTATACATGTACATGTACAGTGTTTGCATGAGTTATGATTTGTCCAAATCAATCACTTATTGTAAGTCATAAAATCTCTTTTCTCTTGACAGAGTTAGGGTTGATATTAACCTCAAGTTAATGTAGGACGTTGAGGTTCAGAGACCATGACCAGGTGGAAAACTTGATTGTATACATTCATTTAGCATAACTGTAGTCCAAATCCTACTCATGAAAAACCTGAAACTGATACTCTGTAATCCAATGAGAACAACTTTAGAATCTGTTCATCATGATGTGGCATCGTCTGTAATGAGAAACCTACCATAATTGTGAATACATACGTACATTGTTTCCTTGGTCATGTCCCTGAATACAACACGTTTCTGCGTCAAAACAAAGTTAGCATGATGATAATGTGAAGTACCAGTCATTATGTTCTCAATTTCTTTTAATACATTTAGGTGCCGTTAAAACTAAAAGGATTAGAAAAACAGTACCGGTAATACATGTATGAATGATGCATGATGTACTCTTTAGGTCAATTACCCTCCATGACTTCAAAGTTGCTCTAAAAAGCCATCTCTTTCTAAACAGTGCTATTAAATCATGGCAATGTAGCGTATTAATTTGTGTTGTTTTAGTTTACTTTATTTTAGTTAAGAAAATTATATGTTTGTGATAGTAATATGTACAGCGCCATGAGCGTCAGAGCCTGGCGGATACCGGCGCTATATAAATATCCATATTATTATTATTATCAAACAACATTTGTGGGTAATTGACCTACATGTACTGTACACTGTAAATAATAGTAGCAACTACTGTCATGTAAAGAGGTGTTGCATAAGTTGAATGTTTTTGAAAAGGCAAATGTTTAACATTTATGAAGTAGACTTTTGATTGTACACATATCTCATCAAAATTCTTAAAAACATCACTTTTGTGAAATTCCCTCTTTGGTTTACATAATTGAATGAAAGTACTGACGTCAATGTATTGTGGGAACAGTTGCCAAATCTGAAAGGTAAAATGACGTATGGCTTTCATAAAGTTTCATGATCAAATTATGTACCAGGCATATTGATCAAAGTGAGTGAAAAGGGTTCTTACTAACCCTTTTGATTGCCAAGTGTACAGCCTAGGGTGGTATTCTTTTATTCAGAGCAACTTCCTGGACTGAACTTTTCGAAACTATTGTACAGAGTGTTTGGGCAAGGCAGACATGTTTGCATGCACACTTATTTTATCAGAATTTAGATGTGACTCATTTAGTGCTTGCCTTTTCATGAAGTACATGTTTATTGATTGTTTCATGCTATCTTGTAGAAGTTTGATTATACCGGTGTTAAAGACCAAGTACAACATGTATGTAAATGATAAATCTCCTCTTTAGACCTCTATTTTTTGTTAGTACATGTGTAAGTCCCTGTAAAGACTATAGTCTGTAATTCCTAACTTTGGGTAGGCTACTTGTATTGTAAGTCTTTAACATTGCATGGGGAAATGCGCTTTATGACCTGTTGTATTAAAAAAGTTGCTTGTTTTCGGAGGTAGATTTTAGTTCGAGGACTTTTACTACACCATTGTTGAATGATCAGTTTGAAGGAAGTTTGGCAGGAAACCTACAACTTCTGTGCCTGTACATGAAGGTGCGATATTACATACACAATCTTGTTGATTGTTTGTTCTCTCATGCGTATAATTATGTCTGTAACATTGGAATCAGATTCAGGGGTTTGATGTACATTGTACATGTATGCACAACTGCTGAAAACACCCTTTAAAAAATGGATTGGTGTGCAGAAGATAACTTTTCTCAGATCATAATGTCTGTTGAGAGCCAGAAAGGTATTGAGTTTAACTCTATGCAAAATAATGTGAGTTAATGCTGTTCTGGCTCTCAAAAGACAATGTCATATTATTTCTCAGAATAAGTGATCTGTCACAAAGATACTCCTACACAAATCCATCATACATATCAATGTACGGATTTGTTTGTTCATAATGATGACTAAGATGTAATACAGAGAACTTTACATATGATTTAATTTGGACCTAAATTGTATATGGGCTTTTTAGGTCTTCTAGGTTTGCCACCACAGGCCACATCTTGTCCCTTCTCCAAGAATTGGCAAAGAAGGTGATCCCCCGATCCCCCGTCTCACAAGAAGCAGGATATGATCAAATAACATGTCAGTGATTCAACAGATCTTACAACATGTACACTCCGCAGTGCAAAGCTTACTGCTGTATAAATGTTTATTGTTCTCCTTAGTTCTCTGTGGCTATGATTATGAGTTGATAGGAGTGTGATGTGAGAACAACTGGGTAGCACACTCCATTGAATTATTGTTGATCCATAGTTTTTTGGGCTTACTGTAAGTTGAGGACAAGACATACATTCATGTTTGAGAGGGTGAACCCCTGTCTTCAAAGTACAGTAGGATTAGAATCAGTTCTGATATATGATTACTCATGATTTCATTGATTCAACAAAATGTTTGTCATGTATACAGGTACGGTGCAGAGATTACTGATTTTCATAATTCATATCCCTTTCATGTAAAGTTCAGTTTAGCTGGCAATAAGCCAGTTCATAGTTGCAGTCTGAGCATGAGCAGAAAGGTCATTGCAGACCAAATTGTGAAATACACAGAGACAAAATACTGGATACGTGCTCATGAAAGTTATGTACCGGTAATCATTATTCATTAATGCACAAGCAGTGCACTCCATGATTATCATACACAGGTGGTAGTATTCTTTGAAAAGGGGAAACAGAGGCTATTTATGTAGCACCTGCATCGCTGTAGGAGTGATTATTTCAAAATCTAAAAAGTGGGACCTCTTCATGTATCGAAGATCTGTGGATATTTGGGGTCATTTGGGACATGTGCTAAGCGTGAACTGGTCTATTGAAGTTCCATCGGCTTGGGTGATTGTTGATTCAGGTAGAGTACAATGTGTCGGTGTTTGAGGGCCAGAGGGATTTTGCCTTGGATGTTGTTGTCGATTCTCATTCTATTCTATGATTATTTCAGTCTGTAAATCAGAGTTCACTTTCACATCCAGCAGTTAATTGTCCTCCTGCGTTTCTTTTCTTCACAAAGAAGGTGTGTCAGAAAGTGCATTTGAGGTTGTCATATCAAGTTCTGCTGCTTCAGAGTTCTCTGGGAAACATAATAATAATTATTAAAAAAATTTAAAAAACTTTTAAAGTCCACTACAAATTTTATTAAACCGAAAATGAAAATTCTTTTTGCCCAATTGATTGTGAGCCCGGCAGCCACTGAGCAGCGCCAGATCGACCCATGACCTCTCGGTTGTGAGGTGGACGCTCTACTGATTGAGCCAACAAATCGGTGAGTGAGTAAAACATGAGTTGAGCTCAGTGGTTGCATTCTGAAACATGTACCGGGGCTCATGAGCTTCATATTGCCCCCTGGCCTAAACAGATCCCCTCATTATTATTAACATGCAGCTTTATAAAGAATTTGTTTTCGATGGGTTGTAATCTTTAGAAAATTTATGGGAGAAAAGGGCAATTTACAATGTAGCTTTGGAGGTGGAAGTGACAATATTCATTTAATTCACTTTGAAGGAATAAAACCATTATTCTAAACTTATTTTTAAAAAGAGCATGGACCTATTATTTACAAGTACATGAAAATCATTGAAATATTAGTTTAGCTTTCATGAAGAGTTTCAGAGTTTGAAAAAGACAAAACAACAGTTGAATTGCTAGTTTTGCTACATTAATTGTCACATGACTCCCATCCATGGCCATTTTAACCGGTTTCCTTCAAAATTTGTTAACCTGATACCCATACAGAAGCCAGAAGGTCATTCTAGATATCATATATTTAAACAAATTCTTTTTGTATTTCATGCTGGTGCCCTGTGGCTACATGTATACAACTACAAGCTAAATGATATAATCCTCATTATAGTTATGTATGCACGAGCCAGCCAATGACACACGCCACTGTTTACACACGCTTTTACGTCTCTCTTCTTATCGTATAGTAGCACTACACTGTGTGCTTGTGTGGACAAAGCCCAAGAGTGTATTGACAGTCTGATAGCAGTAGTCATAAATATCAGTACCGGGTAGTCTATCAGTTTCACTTGGGTTGACACTCATACATCCTCTCTGAAACAATTGGAAGACCAAGATCTACAGTATCTTTACTTTGGAGGATACAAGTCATTTTGGTATGATCTTTTGTGTAACAATATTTTCTTCTGGAAGGGCAGATACAGTAGTAGGGTGTCCTATTGTCCTACACATACAGTAAGTTGATGAAGGTATCTTTTGTTAAAGTGCATTGATTCATTGAGTGTTCTTTTGTTTGTGAAGAGACGGGAGGCTTACAATTGGGATAGACCTTTGCACGTTGTGGTGAGTACATGTACGGTACATCAATTTGTAAACATCGTTCTTTGTACCTACGATGGTATACCGACTTCATTTTATATGCCTACATAGATATGATTAGAGGATCTGAGACTTTGTTTGCAAATTTACATTTTCATTCAAAGCCTGATTACAAGACAATATTTGCAGTTTTTCAAAAGTGGGTAAGCACTCATATTCATGTGCAGTATTTATGAACATCTGCTTAAAGATTAATTATAATGATGGAAAATCAATATGATTAATCTATAATAATAATTATAACAAATATGATGAAGACACATTCTTCTAAATCATAACCTCTTTCACATTGTTTGTATCTAGGCAGCATTTCTTAAAATGAAAGAAAAAGAAATATATAATTTATATATATATTAGTTTCACATCTGTTCTGTAATTATATTGTATAATGGGTGACTGAAACTGCTCACACCCTTATATATTTCAAATTTGGTTGGCTCATGTTTCGCATAATATCAATAACTATATGGAAGTTAATTTTATAGGAACAATAGTGCACTATGATACAATTGTATGGTTTGACATCCTTTGGAAGATAACTTAACATTACATGCCAAGTTTGTTTCACCTTCCATCACCATTATCTAATTAGCTTATCTGAGGCTACTACAGTCTTCATGCTTCTTTTTGTGTGTACCACTTATCTTACATTCATGGACCTGGATACGATCATGCCCATGGTTTATAGTTTACATTTTTTTGTCATAATAACTTGTTTTATTTTCTAATCATATAAAACCATGTGTAAAATGTGTCTTTTAACTGCGTTTCATCACTTGCTCATTTGCTATCGAGACACCAAATGACACTTGCATACACTTTCATCGATCCATACACTAGTCTCTATACATTTCAAGAACACTGATTACCGTACATGACATGAAATAATTTGTGAGATTCAAATTCAATTAACATTAAACTGAAGACTGAAGTCTGGATATTTAACAGATAATGTTCAGACTGACTTTCACATTAAAAACCTGTTAGTAATCAAATTCATTTCCTCTTGTTATTGATTATCTGTGGCAGAATCCTGTCTGTGAAGCCATTGTGTAGATCAAGGCTATTACTATACATTGACTGGTAGGCCGAAATTGATTGCTTCAGTGTACATTGTAATCTATACCATGTGGTACAAGCATCATAGTCCTTATTACTTTCACTATCTATAGTTCCCTCTGAAAAAAGTACTATTTTCATTTTATCAAAAATAAGATGGAAACGTGAAGTAGAAAGGTTGAAAGGAAGTAGGAAGAGATGGTCAGAGACGAATGTTGATTGATGATGCAGATCTATACATGTAGGTGTCGCTCATCAAAAGCCGTGACTCAGTAAGCTGTAGCTATGGTAACCGATTGCTCATCCCTACTAAACAATAACATGCATTCGTTAGGGAGATGATCAAGTTTCTGACAATAGGCACCAGATGCATAATTCATGTGCTTTCCAATTCCATGTCCAAATCATTTCTCTTCACATGACTGTATGAAGTCAACACAAAAGTTCTGACTGTTTTTAGAATGACATGGGTCCAAAATGTACAACTAAGACCTACATGCATAGTACTTGGCATGTTTACCGGTACATTACACATGTACATGTACATGTCATGTACATGTACATGCATATCATATATTCCTTCTTGCTTTGTAATAAGATACATATTGTACGTAATAATCTGTAATATGAAATACCGGTACCATACATGTACACCGGTATATTAGATTGATCTACCCGGTACTTCTTGGTATACCAGCTGAAATGTTACTTTAATACACGTAAAGGCAACACCACGATAACCAGTAACTCTGCTTATGTTTATTTCCCCATTCTGCTTTTACTATTTTATCCTGGATACAACTTGTTCTCAATACATAATTATATTTCTCCAATAGAATAAAAAAGTGCAGTGTCATTAAAAAATTGAGGTGTCATTAAAAAATTGAGGTTAGTGAAAAGCATACAACTTAGTTGGGAAAAGGGAGCAAGGCTGCATTAAATATGTAAATATCCATAGCCATTGTGCGATCAGACTCCGACCTTATACAGGTGTAACATTAATTCCTTTATGCTGGATCCTGAAAGGAATTTCTGTGGTTCAATTTTATTATGTAAATATTGTTGCATTCCGGCTAATATGATATCATGTATCGTGTATCATATACATGATTGATCTTAATCATGTTTTCCCATGCAGCCTTTATCTCCAAGTCTCCAATAAATAATGTGATATTTTTATTGATAAAAGTCTTGACATAAAATGTAAATCTCTTCCTTGATTACTAATTTTCTATATTAAACATAAATCCTTGTAGTCATCCTCAAACTTATTTCACAATATACCGGTATGTGAAAAGCAATTGATAGACTTCCAGTTAGTATCTTATTTCACTTCCACTTTCTATATGTTTGTGATATCAGCTCAATCAGTTGGCACACAGTTGTTTTGCTTTTACTATGACTAATATATTAGTTACATATTACCAGTATTTATACATGTACATGTATATATATGGACATGTTAGGCCTGCAGCTAACTTTCAAATTTGCATACATGTACATCTTCAACACAGGAAATGATAAAGCAGTCAGAACCACCCAAAGCATAATTGATTTCAGTTTTGATTGGGTTTCCGGCTATATACATTCATGGTCAGGCCACAAATTAAATTCATTAAATCAATAGAATAGAGTGGCAAGGAATCTCATTTTTTTATTGATATTTGTGATGGTAGTGACAAATATTTGCATACTGTTTGCACATCAGAGAACTTCCCTTTAATTATCACTTAACCAGTTGAAAAACAAAACAACTGTGTGCCAACTGATTGACCCGATAGATCGATACCATAAAAATATACAAAGTCAAAGTGAAATTAGATAGAGTTATAGCATGTTTGGACTACATGTACATGTAGTTGAAATTTATATGAAACTTCACCATTGATTTTTAGTTTAAAAATAAACAAGAGCATTTGCAGAATCTCAGCATCAGTACACCCCAATTTTTATTAATGTAAGTGACTGTTTCCCCATAATGTTGGAATATATTGATCTTACCTCTTCTCATAAAATGACTGTCACAACATGATTTATTCCGCACTTCATGCACAAAGTTTAATTCTTCCCAGAATATTATTGACCAATCTTATGCTCAATAAAGTTCTGATCTATCAAGAATAAATCATATTTTCAGAGTCATTTCATGAACAGAGGTTTAAAACAATTTAATCATACTCTATGGGCAACAGTATACATGTTTGCATCACTAACAATGACATCACTGACCCTGAAAATTGTACAAGTATTATTTTCCAATTGTAACCCATAAAATCATCCTGATCTTGACCTTATTGTGGTCCATTTGTACAATACGGTCCCACTGACCTACATGTTTATACCAAAGCCAAATTTGCTAACAATTGCCAAAGTTGGTCGAACGCTGTGACTCGTGATGCTACTTTGCACACACAGGGAAGCGTGGCTTAATAAGAACAAATTTTAACAAGGAGTTATTCTTTCATGTCATACATGTATTTGTATGTTTTACTCTGATTATTCATGTGCATATAAATACATTTCCCTGTTTGTATTCTGCAGGTAAAACATTTGCATACATACATTGTACATACATGTACATATTGATATTTATATAATGCCTTTATATAAACATGCTCAAAGCGCTTTACATTAGTTAATAAAACAGAATAATTATTTTGCTCTCCAAAATTATTCAAAAAGATGTGCACTACATGAACCAAGTCGGGTTCATTCATACAGTATACAACCTTGTTCACATCCCACACAACTCTACACAATGCCTTGTCAAAAAATAATCACAAAGAAAAAAAAGTAAGTCTTGAGATTTCTGTTGAATGATTCAACTGAGGAGCAGGAACAAATGTTTAATGGGAGACTACTCAAAATAGTGGGACCAGAAAAAAAAATCATATTTTGTACAGTATATTGGATATGGCTCTAGCTTGTGAAAAATTAAATGGACATACTGTTCTGTACGCTGTAAATGGCAAGAGCGATGCCACGCCCACATACAAGTGAACATAAAACAAAACATCAATTAGAACGCTGACTCATTCTATTGTCATCCTGATAGATGCAGTTTTATTAGATTTCGCATTTGTCTGTCACTTATTGATGTTCATTCCACCTTGTATAATCAACTCATTACATATCCGCAGAGCAGAGGAGTATAAAACCAGGCTTGTTAAAGAGGGTTGGTGGTTTGAGATGATCCTCTCTATATAAGGTGCCTTGAGTACAATCTTATCTATCATTTGCCTGTGAAGAATGCAGTTGTACATGTACTTTATCAAACTCGGGATAATTACTAATTAGCTATATGTACATGTAGATGACCTCATCACATTATTGGATAATGTCAGTTGCATATAAAAGATGTTTTATAATAGCAGAGGCGCAGAGCTATTTATTCTCAAGTAGGATACTTACCGGTAATGACAAATATAGTTTCTCTTTCTTGTCAAAATATGAGTCATAAAGAATTAAAGATTAATAACTCTGCATACATGTAAGTCAAATATGTTGGGACTTCAACAAATAGTTTGACTTACATGTATGTAAAAATTTGAATTAGGAATTGTACATGTATATACCACATGTTTTGCATACATGTATGTAGTTTGGTCCAAACAATTTCTTTGACTTGTGTAATTAACTGTATAAACATGTAGTTATAATTATGAATTACTGTTTATTTATTTTGTAAGATGTTATAAATGTATACTACAACAGATGTTTGTTGATACTGTAGATGCAATGCGACCTAATTATCTTACATTGTAATGCCATTATTGATTTCTCTGGGAATCATCGCTTTTCATTTTTCATCACTTTTGGTACACTGCATAGCAGACGTACAAGAATCTGGATTTATGATTGATATTTTGAATTAGTCTTAATTGATATCAATATTTTCCCTTAAGTTTAACTTTTTGTACAATTTACAATTAACCAGATTGAATAATTGAAATTGCTATTCATCTCTTACTGTAATAAGTTCATAACCACCAGTCTGTAATATTGCATTATATCTTTCTCTTTCTGCCATACAGATTGGCATGACGTAACCCACATATTCCAGCCAATCACAATGTTGTGATTCATCTTCTGTAACAACACTCGTAAACCGGAGCATTTCTCTAGAGGCAAGATGGCACGAAGGTGTGTTTTCCAAGCGACCCTCCTGCTCCTGATCATTTGGTGTGGGCTGAGTTTGGCCCAAGTCTCTAGTCCCGAGCCCACTGCAGAGGCAACGGCAACCAGCGAACCTGAGCCTACCCCTGAAGGTACCAGCGAACCTGAGCCTACCCCTGAAGGTACCAGCGAACCCTCTCCTCATCCAGAAGTTGAACCAGAACCTGAGGTAAAATTCTCCTCTCTGAATCTTCTGAAGCCGCCGCAGAATACCCCATCACACAAGTGACCGGAAAAATAACCCTGACCCAAACTCTAATCCTAATTCTAACTTCAACTTTAACCCTAACCCTAACTTAAACCCTGAATCTGACCCTAACCTTGACCTTTACTGTAAGGGTAACCCTAATATATTGTAATGATGGGTGTATTCTGCATTGAACCCATTTCATCCTTCCATCATTTATATCTGTTCTTTATTTCATTCATCTTGTAAAGTATTATTTTTCATTTCCATCCTTCAATTATTCTCTCCTCCCTTCTTATTCCATTAATTTTTGTTCCATTTGGTGTTATTTCAAATTCTCTTTTCTTGTTTGGTATGTAAATTTACTGTTACTGTTGCTTAAAAGCACAGAAGGGGGGGGGGGGGCTTTACAAATGAAAACAAAATTATAAATAGAAATTTTCTTGAGTTGGTTAACTTGGTTGTTGTTGTTGTGTTTTTTTTTTTGGGGGGGGGGGGGGGGGGGGGGCGGAAGGGGTACTTTTAATGTGTTTTTTGTTGTGCATTTTGTATAATGGATCCCCTAGATTTGAATTTGATGGTGGTATTTTACTCTGAAGTTTTTTTTAATGTTGCATTTACTGCTTAGTGTGTATAGTTTCTGGGGGGGGGGGCATTTCATCAACATTTGTCCATCGTCATCTGTCAGCGCTGACTAAATTTGACCAATCAGAGGTCTGGAAAATAGTTGGTGACAATAGAATTGTCAGTGAAAATGATATTAGTCAGTGAAAACCACTGACTAATTGTTTCATGAAACGCCCCCCAGGGTTTGTTCCTAACTAAGAATTTTAATGTGTTTCTTGGTATATTGCTATATTAAATCTGTAGTTTTTGTTGCTATTGTAGTGGGAGTTCTTTGAGGAGTACAATCTATATTAAACTAAATCGAGTTTCATTTATGCTTATTATGCAGTTACCATTCATCAGGTGATGTATCTGAAATTGCATGACTTGTAATTTTGAAAAAAATTGAATACACCTATTCTTTCATGTAGCTTTGGAGTTGCCCATAAATGGTAGCATCTAAAGTACATAGAAAATGAAATGGCAAATATGGACATGCCTGAAATGAAAAGAGGGTATTGTTGTTGATGTTGTATCTGAAGTTACATGTAGGCTTAAAGTCCAAATTATTCCCTTTTCAAAATGACTCTATAGATTATAAAAACACAGATGAAAAGTATCTATAGAATTTGCCTTATGTAAACAAAGGTGAAACCGATGCTTACCCGCGTATACCTTTCATATACTGCCAGAGAAATTCACTTGCTGGGCGAGCCTTGGCCGGAAGTGAAGAATTATTGCGCAATCGCTTGGTAGCTGGGCGCATGCTTTGTTGAGGTGACCAATATTTAAACTTCTGTGTCAATATTGAAATACATCCATCCATATGACAGGTATAATTTAACTCAAGAACAGTGATTCTGTCTTGGAACATCCAATTTTATTAACACTTTGGCCAAAGTTCCATTTCGTGCTTGCAGATTTGCTGAAAGAGATTTTATAATAGAAATTTAATGACGTACTTCCTCTTAGTTAGGGATGGAGAATTATTGCAAGATATGCCAAGGCTGGGTAATATCTTTGACTACATGTAAGCTCGAGATTACAAACTAAATTATAAACTCCCCCATAAGAACAAATATTTGTTTGTACACAAATATTGTGTACAGTACAAACATTTTAATTTGTATTCAACTTAGAATAATTTGAGGAGCACTAAATTTACATGTATACCATAATCAGATCCAGTTTTGGAAAGCATACATCTCTGATTCTCACAGTATTATTACTGCTTTTCAGGATATACCAGAGATATAAGAAAATCAAGTGGAAAAGCAGCGGAAGTCTTTTTTTATGGCATAACTGAATACATTTCTTTATCCTTTAGGCAAATATGTCTCTATGAATATCTCCATTCAACATCTTTGAATAGATCAACTATCAAAATCAAGGGTATTATCTTTTGCTTTTATGAAAATCAGTGAACCAAATAGAAATTGAAATACATACAAATGTAACAGGTCATCTCTTTTCTAGTTCATGAAAAGAAGTCTTTTAGTCACTTCCTGCTTTAAATGTTCTTAAAACTCAACTGGTATTTTAAATGCAAGTGTTGGAATTGAAAAAGATAAATGTTATCTACCGGTACTTTATCATAAAGGCCACTAAGAAAAGTTGGCTGTACCATCTCCTGGTACTATAAAATATACAATTACAATTATTATGTTTAAGAGAAATATCCTTAAAGAAAACTTATCCATTACATTTGCCCACTGTCTGTAAGGCTACACTTTGGTATTGATATCCCATTTTCTCCCTCAGTAAAGTTAAATCTTGTTGATTCATTTAACTTGTATACATATTTTTCTAAATTTGTTGCTAGGGAGCTGATTACTATTTCTTTCAAATTCATACCTTTTGTAATTGTGTAGTCCATATGTTTTGTTTGTCCTGTAATATTTGTAATCATGATGCACATTGCACAGTAGTGCACAACAGTGTAATGAGGTACCCGAGTACACTCCTATGTTTACAAGCGAATACTCGAGTATTCGGACGCCATGTTTTTTTTTTGGTTTTTTTTTAATTTTTTTTTTTTTTAATTTTTTTTAATTTTTTTTTTTTGCCACCACCATACATACCACTGGAGCAGTATCCCAGTTCTGTCGCCGAAAACGCATGCAATTGAAGGCGCCGATTTAATAATAATAATAACAGTGAACAATGCTGTTTTAAAAACCAAGGATGGCAGAATAATTCATTTTCCTCCAAGTCCAAGCAGAAATCCAGACATTTGGTCCCAGTTTGTGAGTGGTGAGTTTGACAGTGCTTGAGTTGGGAAACATTTTTACCGACGGCACCATACCAGCGGCCGCCGCTCACCCAGGCACGGGTAAGCGTCGGCCTGGACATTTAATTTTTTTTTTTTTTTTTTTTTTGCGGCCGAATATTCGGGTACGAGAAATCGTACCCGAGTAGTTGTCAACCGTGCGGGTACTCGAGCATTCGACTACCCTTCACAGCCTTACACTTCAATGATTAAAATCACTTCTCTTTCCAAGAAGCAGGTACAAGTGAACTGCTTGTAAAACTTACTCTTTTGGCCATACCCCTGCCCCCCCCCCCCCCATGATTTAAAAAAAAAAAATCAATCCTTAATCCGGATAAATCAGCATAGAACATGTACTTAGCAATATTCAACAACACATACTGTACATGTAACAAATGATTACCCCCATATTCCTTCTATCTTTCTATATATCCATTACCCTATTTTTAGTCAATTTGATAATATACACCTGTACATATACATAGACATACATGTGTTACTCCAACTACATATACAATGTACCTTGATAAATATGATGAAAGAAGGCTCATATCATTCTAAGGGTGCATTTAAGCTTAAATTTTGAAGGCAGAATAAGCGATTTGTAACGCTCATCGTAAACGCTCATCGTAATCGCAGTTCCACGGTAAACTGTTTATGCTCACTTCTCAGGCTCCTCCAGGCAATTCTCCCTGTGTGGCCTTAATTAGTCTTCCAGCTGGATTCGCAAACCTTCACTGTGCATGCTACGTAGACCCACTAGAGGTCAGTGCGTTGACCCCATTTAAACGCGTTTACAAATTGTAAACACATCTTTTTGTGAGTTTACGATCGGCGATCGTGATCGCCGTTTTTCGGTGATTCTACAAAAGTGAGCATGGACGCAACCGTGTTTTAAACTAAACGCGTAACAGATGCCCGATTCTGTCCAGAAAAAGTTAAGCATAAATACGCCCTAAGACTAAGGCATGATCTGACATAGGCCTTTTATTTCTTGATTTATCCTGATTCTTTGAAACTGTGCATGAAATTATTTCATATATAGATTGGTAATTAATAATTGATAAGAGACATATTTGTACTCTTCATTTTTCCAAATTTATTTATAAGGATTACATGAAAAGTGACCTTTAATGATCACAATTGATACCAATTGTTACAAAACCATCTTCATTAAATAAAAGCATAGTGGAGAATAATGTATCAACTGCAAATGTCATCTGAATGAAAAAATACTGGTTGTCAAAGGGAATTGAGAACATTAAATAACAACTAAAAAAATGCTTTATCTAATTTAGTCATTCTAGAGTTCTTAGTCACAATTTATGAAAATGAATCAGCATTGACGAAACAAAATCTGAGATTATAAATTTGAAATATTATAAAGATCTAAATCTAAAAATAATTTGAGTCATGACAAAACTAACAACTCATTTGATTAAGTAAAGAATAGGTAATATTGATGTATTGATGAGATATTGTGCAAGTTATTCTCCCTGACAAAGTTTTGTTGGTACAGTGCCTTGAGGTTGGTCTCTTTAAAACCTCTTATCATACCACTGTTTAACATTTGTATTGTTAATCAATAACTTTCTGCTTTCAGTATTACAATGACAGTGGTATTGTTACAAGAACATTGCAAATGATTGGAAAGAGAAAGAGGAAAAACGATCAAGCTGTCTATTTATTGGTATTTTAAACAGGAATGAAAAAGGATTACAAACGATATGACTTGACAGGCAGACGGGTGAAGGGGGGGGGGGGGGGGAGCACATCCTACCCAGCCACTCTTTTGAAACAGAAGTGGCATGCCTTAAAACCATACTGTACTAGAAACACTAGTGCAAAATCCCCTCTAGCGCCATCTCGGGTCAGCTCTAGCAGTAATGCAAGATGCAACCTTTTCACACACGGTTGAAATTCTTTAAAGCTGATTAGTTTAAAGAGCTTTAAACTAATCAGCTTTAGATACAACATCATTTACACACAGAGAATTTTGGCGCGGTCGTTCAAGATTCACTGCTCTGTTGCTGCTCGTAAATGCGCAATGGCCCTACTGAGCGTTTCAAGACCAGTGTAAACACGTATATCCGTTCACACACAAAATGTCTTGCTCTCTAGATACGGACTTTGTATCTGCAGCCTGCTTTGAACGGTGTATGAATCGCAACTTTGTATCTGTCCGAACATCAAATAAATGACGTTCACACAGGAAAGATTTACTTTAAAGCTGTTTAAAGCTGTTCAGTTAAACAGTTTTAAACTAATCAGATCTAGAGACGATGAATTTTAACCGTGTGTGAAAAGGCTGATGGTCCCGTAACTCGCTGCTTTACTAGCTGTGCTGTTGGTTCTTCCATCGAGCCCTCTGTGTGCAAAGTGGGATTGAGGTATTGGGTTACGCACTTTTGGGCAAGTTGACCATGAGTCCTTGTGAAAAGTATGCTAGGCTAGAAATCTCATAAGTTCAGTATCACTTTAAGTACACAACAATTTTCGGAATATATAAATGCTTCCTCATTTACAAATCATGGATCTCCCCCTCATTTATTGATTTTTTGTTCTATTTCTTATTGTTTTAATGCAGGGAGGAGCTGAGCCTGAACCAGAGCCTGAGGGTGAACCAACCGGACAACCCGATGATTCACCCTTTGCAGAACCAGTACCAGCATGGAATGATGCTCTACCCAAGTACAAATGGGCGTGGCCGTTTCACATCTATCTGCTTGGAGTCCTCTTTGCTCTTCTCGCTATCTACTCATTAGGAAGCATCATCAAATTACGGCAGCGACGCCTGCTCAGCTATGGCTACTTCATCGCCCTGAACCTGCTGATGCTCCTCATGGGTGTCATCAGGGCTGTCTATCTGCTTGTGGATGCCTACAATTACAAGGGTATCTGGCCCAACGTGGTAGCGTACCTGTTCCTAGGTACAGGGTTTCCCTGCCTGACCTCGGCATTTAGTATTCTCTTTATGGCCTTGCTGCAATCGACGAAAACCCGCCTAGTACCACCGACGATACAGAAGCCAAAGTTCCTGGCGGGGTTGTCATCTTTCATTTTGCCTTTGCCTTCATAGCTGATGTTGTGGTAGGACTCTATGCCTCTGCAGCAGCGTTGCTCCTGGCTTGCCAAGTGGCATTTGTCATATGGGGTGTTTTTCTTACAGTCAGTTACCTGGTCATATTCCGCCGCCTCTACAAGTCGTCGCAAAGGAAGTTCAGGGAGATAAGCCGGCTCAGCATGAGGACGTCATCCATTGTTCTGCCTGGAGAACGTCGTGCAATCAAACCTAGAAACAACTGGGGTAGTGCAATAAGAATAACTCTGGTGACAGCTCTTCTGGGTCTCCTGATTGCGCTGCTGCAGGTATATGGCATGCTGGTGGTGTATGGACCTGTCGGTGGGCAGAAGCAGATCCCTGACCCGTGGCCCTGGTGGGGATACCAATTCACGTTCCGTCTTTTGGAGTTCTTCATGTGTGCCCTCATGAGCTACGTTGCGACCCAGCCATTCCGCTACACCAAGGATGGTAAGGAGAAGCCATGTGTGTGCCTTCCTTGCTGGAAGTCAATCCTTGAGGCTTGTGGTAGGAGAGAGAAAGAAGATTTGCAACAGGATGAGGAAGTGAACTCACAGGTCTGGAGCAGTGCCTTTGAGCCATGTCTCCCAAACAAACTTCCAATGTACTCAGGATTAGCCTCTCGAGATTCACCCGCGTACTCTCAAAACATCAACGGCAACAATGCAACAGTGAATATCAACTTGGAACAAAGGGGAAGCACTGATAAAGACTTACAGCTGGATAAGAGCATGCATTTAAAGGGGACGAAGAAAGCAAAGAGCACTGAGGCAATTGATTCAGAGCTGAACAACAGGACAAGAATGCCTCAGACCGCTCCGATCACCGGAACACCTTTCTTTGAAACAAACAGTTCACAGGTAGTGAGGAACGAGCTCCAGGCTCCCATCCAGCGAGGGGACAAGGTGACCAACTGTCGCTCTATGCCCATCCAGCAGTCCAAGGACAGCGATGATGATGGGATGGGGCTAGAGAAGACCCCTAGTCATCATTCAATGTCAGATATTACTCAGTCAATCAAACCAGCAGATGTATCAGTCTGCAGTAGTCCCACTGCTGATATAAGTATGGATGTCACAGAGGAAACACCCCTCAACCCATCTCAATGAGCTATCGGTCAGGTGCCAAGATGGAAATGATTGTACAGTGTAAATAATGCCTTTCTGGGTGTCTACGTTTGTGTATAATGACCCATCTGTTGATATTCATGTATTTTAAAATCATGGTTTTAAAAAAGTTATTTAGATGTCCTTGCCAATGCATTGTACAAATTTTGATGAACTTCTCATGCAGTGAAGTTGTGTGATATTTTTAAATGATTATAAGCTTTAATTGAATGGATATGAAGCGAATATTTACATTCACATTATTTGTGAAAGCCATAGATTTCTTGCTACCTCGGTTTGAAGACCAGATCGATTCTTTCTCTTTTTCAATTATCCTTTAAACCTACAATAAGCAGGAAAAGTCAGGGTTTATTTGTACTAATGTTATGTGATTAGATGGAGCATTCTGTGAGATCTCCATATTACTCTTAGTTTGAGATATATGTCGATGAAAAGAACAGAATATGTGAGACGTTAGCCTAGATTAGAAGGGGAGGCGCGATAGCTCAGTCGGTAGAGCAGTGGTCTCGTAATCCGGTGACCCGGGTTCGAAACCAAGGCGATGCGCCAGTGCCCTTTGGTAAGACATTAATCCTCATTAGCAGGTCCCTCGGAGAGGACCTAAAGCCCTCGGCCGTCTGGTTGCTTACTTACAAGCATTTATGCTTTTTTAGCAGTCAGGTAAAATAGCCATCCCCATGATTCATTAGAAGATATATTTCATGCTTGGTGTTTTTTTAGAGCAAATGAACAGGTGGTAGCACTAGGACAAATAATTCACGTGTTCACTTATATCACAGCACAAATTTGGAAATTTGCAAACATTTGCCATGAAAATGGCAGTCATGAACTAAGAGTGGAAATTTCATAACTTTCTGGCGTTACAGTAGATACATTAAAAGTTAGAACATTTAAGAAATGTATCATTGTATCTTTTTACCTGTAACTTTTGCCAACATTGTGCATTACCTATTAGTGTTGATAATATCATGCTCATTGCTGCTCCAAATCTTTATATATTAGTACTTGCCAGTTTTAGGACAAATGTATCAAGTGGGAAAGATGCAAATATAGAAGTTGTGATATGAAAGTGATCGGTTTTTAACAGGCTAAAATTGGTAAGTATGTATGTGTTTATGAATAGTCAAAACAGCAGCAGTTCAAATTGAATTTAAGTGTTTTACAATATAAAGCTTTCATAATAAGGAATACAATTTTATGTTTTATTTTGTGAATATTATTCCTTGTGATTGATGATTTTGTCACGTTTTTTTAAGTTGAAGTATCTGATATGTACATATTTTCTTTGGTACTTTTTTTCTGATTTAGATGACGCACTGTTTGTAAGAAAAATGCCAGTTAGACAGTTTCATATAATTTAGCATGAAGCTGACACTAGCTTGACAAAATTTAGATTCTTGGGATATTTTGATAGGGCAATCCTTTGAAATCATACAGGAATCTGTGTTAGCACGTATCTTAAATACGGAGCAACTGAATGTACTTTCATAGGATATGAATAGAGACGCACGCTTCACCTCCGAGCTTAGTTGAGCAGTTTTAGTTTGGCAATATTAAGCCTGTCGCGTTACACGATCTCACTATGATCCCATTTTGGAGGAATTGGGATAGCGTTTTATTATAACATTCAAACATGTAAAATATTATTGACCGAGGATCTGAATAGTCATACGATTAATAAAATCTAAATTTCAAGAAATTTCATGCTTTTATTGTAGAAGGAAAAGCTAGATTGGCCCAGAATTGATGTGACGTCAGACCAATTGTGTGATTGTCTATGATTTGAAGCCAATTTGGCTTTGATTATGACAAGAAGGCTTGAATGCACTACAATTCTGGTTGTTAGTATTGTCATTATTAATCCAGAACCTAGATCTGGAGAATGACATTTGTTTATATTTCCATATCTAATTGCCATTTCCTTGAAAATTGGATGGCTGGAGGATCATATAGTGTGCACTAGACATTAGAGATACAAAGACATTATAGGCTGCTTTGATACTGTGTGGATGTAGATCATGCCAGGTTTAAATATCAGGTATTAAATTATTCAACCCCAATATCTGAGCTTAATTTTTAGGTTCCAATAGACTAAGGTCTAATCAATTCCAATTGGTATTTAAAAAAGAATCATGTGTCTTGACATAATGTTGAATTGTTTACAATTTTAATCATCAAAATGATGAAGAAATTAACAGGTAACATAATTATTCATTCCAAAGGATAATTTACATGAGTGATATGTGAAAATAACATTAAATAGTGCCATATGTAGAAAAAGAAATTATTACGAAAAAAATACTTAGCCATTTAAATTGATAATAATTTTTTTCTGACAAACGTACGATAACAGGTACAGGCGGAAAGCTAATATTGTGAAGGGGGTAATTTAAAAAAAAGGTTTACACTATAAATGTACAGCTTATTGATGTATTGGTCTACAAATTTAATGTATGATAGAAAAGTAAAAGCTAAAGAAGAAATAAGAGAGTCTATAACCATATTGTAATAGAAAATGTTTTTGTACATTGTGTAACTTCAATATTTCTGCGAAATTTATAAGGTGCAATATTTTTAAAAGCAAAAGATATTTCAAAATTAATTGGGGCTTTATTTTAGAACCCGTAGTTTCATGACTGGGAAGATTTTGGTTAAGGGAATCGCATTTATTATGGTGATGTATGAAATTTATTTTCAGTTGCTATAAATGAATCTGGGAAAGAGCCAGTGAGATTTTTCAATGATGAATTAATTGCCATAGATTATCCAGTACTGAATTTCATCATTCTATGCGTACAAAATTTTCTTTTAAGCTTTTACCAAAGTAGAGTTAGACTACCAGAAGTATGTTACAGAAGACAAATATGGTACATATTTATAACAACAATGAACGAGGGTGTGGCATTGTAATCATTTCTAAGAATAGCTTTTAACAAAGACATTCTTAATTTGAAGTCAGCTTTTGTTTGGATTTGCAGGGCCGTAGCCAGAGTTTGATGTTTGGGGGGGGGGGGGGGGGCACATACATGTAATTAATTGACATCTGGGGAGGGGTCTAAAAAAGTTCAACCGATCTTGGAATTTTTTCTTTTTGGCCCCCCCCCCCCCCCCCCCCGGTGGTTACGTGCCTGTGGATTTGTAGTACTAATCATCGCTATGATAATGATCATTTATTTTGCCTCCCTGTATAGTATATAGGGTACTATATATATGTTGCCATCATTAATTGTTGTATTTAGTATTCGTGTCTATAATCAATGTGAAAAGATACATATCGTTCCATATGAAGGGCAAGATAAAGGAGAAACATGCACAATTCAAACCATGGATTAAAATAAAGATATGAAGTGAAGAATATATATTTGTTGTCACACTTTTTTGCTTCTTGAAACAGAAATCAAATTAATGGCAGTAACAATACTTTATAGTTAGTGTAATCAGGGGGCCGATCCAGCCGGCGTCAAGAGAGGGGGGGCGGGGCAATTAGTGAGAAAATATTCAGCAGTGACTAAGCCGGCCGGTGATTAAGCAGGGGAGGGGGGGGTCCAATTTGTGACGAAATATTTAGTAGTAAATCATCCAGCCGGTCAATAGGCGGGTCAATAAGCGGGAGGGGGTGGTGGGAGCCCGCTTTAAATTTGGTTTTAAAAAGGGAAAATTAACATTTACCATCTTATTCTTTTACCAGTTTTTTTTACTAAGGCCCTGACCTCCCCCCCCCCCAATGGATCCGCGCCTGAGTTAATCCCATAGAAATCATAATATGTCTGTAGATAAGGGACAAGGATATTGAAATTGCCTTACGTCTTTGTGATTGCGTTCCTTCCAATAGATGATGTAATTATTTTAAGAACCTATAAAAAATATGATAACAAAATAGTTG